ATATTTAGGTCACATTCGTGTATGACTGCATGCGAGTTTCTTTTGGAGTAAATCACATACTTATTGCTTAAATTACATTCGTTGGCATGTAGTACTAGTATACGGAGCACAAGCGACTGTATGCAGTACTCAGGGTGGGCGTTCGGTTCTCGGTTCGGTTTCGGTTCGGTTCCCTCGGTTATTGATGAAATTCGGTTCCTAAAAAATAGGAACCGATCGGTTCAAAAAAAATTTAGGAACCGAGTATTTCGGTTCGGTCCCGGTTCTAACCGAACTAACCGAATTTTTTCAGAAGACCTCAAGACAATAATAAATATACTTATTCTAAGGCAAATTTATGCAACACTATATTTATTTTTAATAATAATAATATATAAGAAAAACAATAGCAATATAGTAACACAAATATATAGCAGTTCAAATAAAAAACACTACACATAAACCAAACATAATCCTACAAAATACAAGTAAGTGAAGTATAATCCATGTAATTCGGTTCTTTCGGTTAATTCGGTTAACCGAGAGTAGGAACCGAATTTTCTTCGGTTATTTCGGTTCCTCAATATTAGGAACCGAATTTTTCGGTTCCGGTCTTTTTGGTTTCAGTTCCGATTCTTTTGGTTCGGTTTTCGGTTTTCAGTTCTCGGTTAATTTTGCCCAGGCTATGCAGTACTACTGTACGGAGGAGAAGCGGGCGGGACTGGCCGCACGTGGCCTTGTACGACACCAGGATGGCGTCCGCGCATGGCGCATGCGACTGGACCAGGCCCACTTCAGGTGGAGGAGCAGGCACGTCCGCGCATTAGACGAGCAGGAGCGGGCCCATGGCGTGCGGGGCGCGGGGCGCGGGGCGCTCGGGGTGCGGAGCGGGCGGGCGGGCGGGCGGTAATATTCCGTAGGCAGCCATGAAATAAGTTACTACGTACCCATCTTTATTTACGATAATTTTATATACTAATTTACGATATTAGCTCTGTTCGATTTATTATATATTCAGTTTGTTAGAACTTTTTTTCAAATTTGGAATAAAGATTTTTCTCTCACAACAATTCAAATGAAATAATATTTTTTTCACCATTTGACCAAATAGAATTTAATCAGGGCCAATGTCAATACATATTTACGATAGCTGAGTTACTATAATACATGGGGATATTTACCATAACGTTATAGTAAACACTTAGTAAGGAGTTACTATAATCTCGTAAATTAACATAGTAATTATCGTAACTCAAAGTGGCTACAGAATAAGTTATTTTATAGCCAGCTACAGGGTAGTAGCGCGCGCGCTCTCTCTCTCTCTCTCTTTATATTTATATATATATATATATATATATATATATATATATATATATATATATATATATATATATATATATATATATGGAGAGTATATTCAGTAGCCAGCTACAAAATAAGTTATTATATAGCCACCTTCATTTACGATAATGTCAATACATATTTACGATAGTTGGGTTACTATAACACATGGGAATATTTACCATAATGTTATAGTAAACCACTTAATAATGAGTTACTATAATCTCGTAAATTAACATAGTAATTATCGTAATTCAAAGTGGCTACAAAATAAGTTATTTTGTAGCCAGCTACAGGGCAGTAGTTATATATATATATATTCAGTATTTGGTCAAGAGCGTCTAGATTTAGATTCATATATAGGGATGTTTAGATCCGGTGGCTAAAGTTTAGCCCGAGTCACATTGAATATTTAAATGTTAATTAGGAGAACTAAACATGAGCTAATAATTATAAAACTAATTGTATAAGGCGTGACTAATTCGCGAGACAAAATTATTATGCCTAATTAATTCATGATTAGCATATGTTTACTGTATCATCACATTCGCTATTTATGGACTAATTAGGCTTAATAGATTCGTCTCACGAATTAGCCTTCATTCATGCCATTAGTTCTGTAATTAGTCTATATTTAATACTCTTAATTAGTATCAAAATATCCGATGTAATAAGAACTAAAGTTTAGTCTCGGGGATCAAACAAGTTTTTTATAAATCCGAGGGGGGAGGCGGGGTGAGGATCCTCCACATGGTTGATTGTATTGACCGGCTCTCAAATAGCCACATTGTTTGAAGTTACAGACAGTTCACCGATAGTTCATAAGAGATATAGTTTACATTATTGTGTTTGTTAAGATCGAACACCATGCGACCACAACTTATTTATCTTCTACCAGTAAGCAAGGTCCCCGTAGGTAGCCCTCCGGTTTGGAAGCCACCAACGCACCATTTAGCGTCGTCCGCTGGTTTCTACAAACCACATTGTTCCGCCATTTCCAAATGTGCCAGCAACATAGCAGTAAGAATATCCCAAAGTGTCTGCGTGGTATGTGGGTGAGCATTGAATCTCCTTGAGCACTTTAATTGCCCAATCAGCATCCGTTTGAATCTGAATCGCGCTTAGGAACTATAGCTAGCAGAGGTATAGCCGAAGATTATGCGAGTTGGGGGTACATCTTTGCCGTGACAAGGCAGTCATCGCAATCTGCGTTGTCCACGATGCCCTTTCTCAGTAGGTTTGTCTTGCATTGGATCCTTTCCAGAGACAGTAGCCAAGCGAAGAACTTGACACGAGGCGGCGCCTTGTTTTGCCAGACAAATTTGGCCCAGTCGTCCGGACTTGAGTTTGCTATTTTTAGCGTCTTATAGATCATCGAGCTGTCAAGATCACCATTGCGCTTAAGTAGTAGGCTCCGACGACGGTCTTAGCCTTCTGTCAAGGCATGTTGTCGTATGATTTCCAAATCCAAGAATTTATCTTTGTACTAGTTTGCTTGAAAATTAGTCGTGACGCATCTTCAAAAGTGAAGCAATCTATTCATTAGTGACTCGTGTGTTTTTGGTGTCAACACCTGGGTGAGCTGTATTGTTGCGATCGCAGAGCAGCGTGTGTGACGAGGGAACGTCAAGTTCGCGTCGGCTGCTTGCTTGATTGTCATCTTCTGGTTTACGCAGTGACTATACATCTCTGGGAAGCGCTCGGCCATGGAATCATCGCCATCCCATACATATCATTGCCAGAAGGAGGTTGTTTTCCGATCACCGAGGCGAACGGTCGTGATTGAACGGTAGATTGGCAGCAACGATAGCAGGATGTCCCAGTGCTGTCCATGGAGATCGCCAGGGAGTGATGCAACACAGGCATTTTCCTGAACCCACCGAGCCTATGACGAGGCATTGCTCGAATGTAGCTTATCTATCGTCTTCGGTAAGAGGCAGGTATTTTGGATGCCTAGGTCTTTTAGTACAAGTATATACTCGAAAGTGAATAGTTGTATATAGATTATGAGAAATTTCGTAATAGTTCTGCCCAGTATTTAACCAGGTATATTATGCCATCTATAGCTGCCTGGTCACGTGGAGTCGACATACTCCTACGTGCGAAACAAAGGGGTGTCGTCACCTTCAACTGTGATTGCAGTAGTTGAGTCTGAGAGCATCTTCAATATTTCTTTAAAAAATAATCAGTAAATCAATGATTTTCTAAGCCGTTAAAAAAACAGAGAGTATATTTGTTGGTTTTTATCTTACCATTTTTAATACCTCGCTCATAAAAATTATAAAGCAATTTTGTATCAGAAATCTCAGACTATTCTAAATCATCCCAGTTACTTTTGTACTTATACTTTCTTTCTCTTGTACATTGAAAACAATCATTTCTCCTTATTCTTCTCCATGTCCTTCATGCTTATATTTTCTCTTTATTCTTCTTTATGTCCTTCGTACGTACTTACACTTTCTTTCTCTTGTACACCAGAAATATATCGTCTCTTCTTATTCTTCTCCATGTCCGTTCACCACCAATTTCATTAAAAAAATGTTCACCCACCATGTCAGCTTTGATCTATTAGATGAGCACGTATCGTTTCAAGATTGATTTTCCCAAATGCGAAAAGATTGGAAGTTGAGATAAAAGTCGGGGAGATATTTTTTTCAATCTTACTAAAAAAAATCTAGATTGAATGTAGATTTTGGAAACCCTTGAATACGCTCTCTAATGGCTGGCTCGTACAATGCCTGTTGCTGGGAAAAAAAATTAGATGGGTACACTGTCCAACGATACTCCGTGCATACCCTTTCTGATGGAGGACGCGTGGAGAGGCTGCAGATCGCGTTGCCAAGCGCCTCTCCAAGAGGGCTATTCGCTCGTGCATCGGCTAGCTCGCATGGAGCTTGGCTCCGAGAGACTGACACAAGCGGCGCTTGTTGGCTGTCATCCGCATGATCGCGCATGCTCCCCCTCGTCATCGCCGGCACGGAGACGGTGGCATCTATGCCGACGCGGTGCTGTCGTCCTGCAAGGCTGCAACCTCCCCATTGTACGTGGCCCTGCTATCCTTCATGCCGCTGTGACTGTGAGGTGTTATTGTGCAGTGTGGGCATCGCTGGCTTGTGAAAGATGAGGCAAGGAAGTGATGCCCTCGAGGTGTTCGGCGGAATGGCAGGAGTGGCGTCGCGCAGAAATCAGTTCGGGTGGCCGTGTGATCCCGTCTCGGAAGGCTCCTGTAATTACGGCGCTTCTCCAACCCGAGGACGATGGCTGCTGCTGTGTTGGGGAATCTAAGCCCGAAGGGATCCGAGTCGATGGGCTGCTGGGGAGCCAAACGCCGCCGTCGTGAGTTGGTGACACGCATCACCGATTGAGGGACAGCAGTATGCACGCACTTTAACTTTTTTTCCCAGAACGCACAGGCGGATACTTCCGATTACGGGCAGACGACACGTAAGTACATCGCACACATACACAGATGTGCGCGACAAGTTCAGAAGAGAGGACATGGACGTTGCTAAACGACACTACTGTCTTCCACCACTACACGAGACGAGTGGCGTTACAGGCTTACAACATACTTAGAACATACACACATACATAGAGAGCCCATATAGAGACTTCAGAAGCACCAGCAGGTGACACGAGAGATCCGCGCGCGCGGACTAACGAGCGATGACGCCGGCTAGCTAGACCTTGGTGAAGCGGAGGTAGCCCTTCTTGGAGGGCAGGTCGGCGGTCTCAAACCCCTGCGGGAACATCTTCCTGGCCTCCTCGTCGGAGACGCCAGGCGCGATGACGGCGCACTCCCCGGGCTTCCAGTTGGCGGGCGTGGCGACCTTCCCGCCGTGCTTGGCGGCGGTGAGCAGCGAGTCGACGGCGCGCAGCACCTCGTCCATGTTCCGCCCCGTGGTGGCCGGGTACAGGAAGCTCAGCTTCACGGCCTTGTCGGGCCCGACGACGTGGAGCGCGCGGGACGGCAGGCTCACCCCCTTGGCGTCCTTCTCGTCGGGGTCCACCATGTTGAGCTGCCGGATGGCGTCCCGACCCGGGTCCGCCAGGATCGGGTACGTCACCTTGTGCTTGCCGCCGCCGTACGCCTCGATGTCCTTGGTCCACTCCCCAGTGCGACTCCACGTCGTCGCACGAGATGCCCAGCAGCTTCACGCCACGCTTCTCGAACTCCTTGGCGTACCCCGCCATCGCCGCCATCTCCGTCGTGCACACCGGCGTGAAGTCGGCTGTTGTGTCGCGACATGCATCAGTACAGAGATGGACAGAATGTGCGTGCATGCAAGCATATGGCCGAGCGAGCGTATAGTACCGGGGTGGGAGAAGATGATGGCGTAGCCGTCGCTGACGTAGTCGTGGATGCGGATCTTGCCGTGGGTGGAGTCCAGCTCCAGGTTGGGGACGGTGTCGCCGATGGTGAGCCCCGGCATGGTGCCGCCGATCGAAGTGCGCTGCGAGCTTGTACCACTGTGAGTAGCTAGCTAGCTTGTCGATGTTGTTGTCTTACAAGAAGACAGCTGCTGACGACTCCGCGCAATGGAGACCTCAGTGAGAGAAGAAGGAACTGATCGAGCGTGCGCATATATATCTGGCGAGATCGGTGGTGGACGGACAGACCGCGTGGAGAAGTGGCACCCAGGCGCGGTGCATGGGCGCCGCGTAGCTAGCCTCGTGGCACCTGCGTCGGCCTCCGGCGCTCAGTGCGTTTGACCTGCCACCAGAGTTTTGTACCGGTGGCGAGTGCCAGCAGGGTTTGGTTTGTTCTAGAGATGGGCTGTAATGCAGGAGTTCAGCCCATGCAACAATGGGCTCAACTAGTTTTTCGAGCCCAATTTAGTTTTGGGTGGAATCTCTCTTAGACGGGCTCTTTTGAACTCAGATGGGCTGAAACCTCCTCTCTCTCAAAAAAAAAGATGGGCTAAAACCAGCTAAGTGCCCCCACTTTGTGCAAGCATGTAGGTAGAGCCAGCCCACTCGCCAAATCACCATTACTGCTGCCTGCAAATGGTCATCGTCATCGATCATCTCATCTGTGTGGGCATGGGGGCATCCCTGCTGAAAAGGTTTGCACTTTGTAGTTTGTACCCTCCTCTTGATGTTACGTGCAACCAAACGGTCGGCTTCTAGTGAACGCCAAGAGCCCTAGACGTTCACTTCACCCAACTATAACAGGTACACTCCGTACTCCACTGAAACGCAACTTTAGCTGACAATGGATAATGAAGTCCACACAAGCACGACCTTTTTTTATTCTTCCTTTTTGAACGTAACACACGTCCTTTTTATTCAGCAACGAAACAAAAAAAGGGGCGTCCCCAACAGCGATACAGCGTCATGATTCTTATTATCCCAATCCGGAGACCGGAGTCTGACAGTCATCATCAGACGTCGCAAGTAAGCCACAGCGGCTCGTCGAACTGGCCCAAGGCGTTCTCCCCGGCGGGCGGGCCCAACGCCAGCGACTCCAGCCCGAGCCCGGCGCTGGCGGGCCCCCACGCCGGCGTGCCGTTCTCATAGGCGTTGCAGGTGAGGCGGCGCAGGCCCGAGCCGTCGAGGCGGCACAAGTACAGGTCCCCGTACGGCTGGAACTGGTTGGGCCCCGAGATGGGCTCCGCCACGACGCTTCCCAGGTTGGCCGTGAACAGCAGCCACTGCGAGTCCGGGCTGAAGCACACGTGGTTGATCCGCTCCTTGTCCGCCTCCGCGCTGCCCTCGGGCCCGGCCACGTACACGCGGCGCAGCCCGGAGCCGTCGGGCCGCACCAGGTAGATGCTGAACACGGCCGGGTTCGACGGGTCGTGCCGGTTCGACGAGAACGCGATCAGGCTCCCGTCCGGCGACCAGCTCGGCATCGTGTCGATCCACTCGCCCTCCGTCAGCCGCCGGACGCCTCCGTCCTCGCCGCTCACCGTGTCGACGATGTACAGGTTCTTGTGCCCCGTCCGGCCCGACCAGAACACCAACCACCGTCCGCACGGCGACACCGCCGGGAACGCGTCGTTGCCGGCCTCCGACCAGGTCAGCGGCCGCACCGTCGCGCCGATCACCTCCCCGCGGTCGTCGTCCGTGAGATCCAGACCGTCGCCTTCGGGGTCTCGAAGATGGGGCCCATGGACGTGAACACCACCCCGGGCTCGGTGGGGCTCCAGGTGGTGTAGAACAGGTTGGGCTCCTTGCTCACCGTCCACCGCCTGGACCCGTCGGAGCGGAGCACCATGACGCCCGGCGTCATGAAGAAGTCGCCGTTTACGGCGAGGTGAGCCGCGTCGGGCGAGAAGGACGGGAACGTGCCGTTCACGCGGAGCATCCGGAGGGACGGCACGGGGCTCCGCACCGGCTGCAGGTGCGGGACCAGCGAGTCGCCGGGCGCCCCCGCGCCGCGGAACCGGTGGTACCCGACGCGCGCGCCCGACGGCGAGAAGAAAGGGTTGTAGTGGTGGAGGCCCGGGTTGAGGAGCTCTGTGAGCGGGGAGAAGCGCTCCGTCTCGAGGTCGAACAGCTCGACGTGGCGCTGCGCCCGGCCCTTCCGCCGCGTGGCGACCGCGATCCACCGGCCGCCGCCGAGTGCGGCGGGTGCGGCGGGGGTGAAGCAGTGCAGCCCCGGCGGCGTGACGCGGCGCTCGGGCCCCGTGGGCTGGAGCGTGTCCGGGGAGACGCCCACGCGGAAGACGCTCCACCACCCGTCGTCCGCGACGCGGTGGAAGAAGAGCGCGCCGTCGCCGTGCCAGGCGGGCCACCCGCCCCGCGCGGCCACGACGGCGCGGCGGGACGGGTCGGCCGCGCGGAACACGGCCACCTCCGTCTCCAGGACACGGAAGTCGAACGCCCAGGGCCGGTCGCCGTACGACGCGACGGCGATCAGATCGCCCGAGGCGGACACGGCGGGGCTCATGTCCACAACGCCGCGCGGGGTGAGCCTCTCGGGCTTCCCCTCCTTGCCGTCCGCGCCCACACTCGCCGCGTACACAGCTGCCCAGCTCCGGAACGGCCGGTCCGGCTTCTCGTGCGCGGAGACGAAGTACACCCGGCCGCCGCGCACCGTGGGGCGGTCGTGGAACAGGCTGCCCTCGGCGGCCGGGAGCGGCTCGGGGCGCTCGGATTCGGACCCCGGCCGGGACAGGAACAGGCTCGCTGCCCCGGTCCGCTCGGACACGAACGCGACCGCGTCGCCGGCGTCGTCCGCGAACTGCGCGTTGAAGTTGACGGAGACGCCGTCCGTGTGGCGCCGCTCGTCGAGCTCCTCGGCGGAGACGCCGGCCTCGGCATCGGCGGACGCGGGCGCAGGGACGGAGACGGAGAAGACGTCGAAGCCGAAGTTGGTGACGCCGACGGACGCGAAGACGATCGTGCCCGTGGGCTCCATCGTGATTCGGGGCCTTGGGGGAGCGGAGTGACTGGTGGTGCACTGGTGCTGGTGGTTGGCGCGATGGATGGACTGATGCTGCTGGAGGGAGCGGGAGCTGTCAGATGCTGTGACTGTGAGCCTCTGGAAGTGTATTTGTAGGTTGGTGGTGGGTCCACGTGAGGGGACGCTATCTGCTTGGAATTGATCGGCGTGTGTGGATTGTTGCCTGTTGGAGTGGTTGTCGGGCCACTGCCGTGATGGAGTGTGCGTATGTGGCGGGTGTGAACGAGCGTGTGCCAAAGGGAATCTGTGGATCACGTAGCCGTGCACAACCCGATCACTCGATTATTAGGCCCGCCTGACGGCCTGGGCCCTGACAGTATTGTCCGCACCTCAGTCCCTCGTGAGGGTGGGCAATCGGTTTAAACCGATCATTCGGTTCGGTTTGTTTGGTGTTGAAAAACTTCGGTTTGCACAAAACAACAACCGATCGGTGGACGTCAAAAACAGAAACCGACGTGTTCGGTTTTCGGTTTAATTGGCTCGGTGTTCGGTTTCCCCCGAACTTCAGCATATGTCCCTGCTGCTCATCCGCTCCATCGACTCTTGCTCACGTCTCCCCAACAAGCCAAGAACCAGTGAAAATTAATACCTGTGTGGGTGTCGCATGCCACCATCGTAGTTCAAAGTGGGTTGGTGCCTGATTTGATGACTAAGGCGGCGTTCGGCTGGTCTGAAAAAGCCGGCTGGTCCAGCTGCTTCTCCCCACATTACTACAGTGCATCTTCCAGCCGCTACAGTATTTCTCTCTCACACAACCAGGCGCTATAGTGTTTTGGTTTATTTTTTCGCATGTTGAACGGGCCTAACAAAGGTTTCGTTGACCATCTTCGTTACACTTGCATCTTGCCGTCTCTGCCTCCCGTGGCGCTCAACTCGCTTTCTCGCCCGCGTACTGCGCCATATCTGCCGCTACCGTCGCCGGAAGCTACACCAGCTACGTCACGCCGCTTAGCTCGCCACGCCACAGCCACGACGACAAGCTTGTCGCTCGTCTGCACTCCACACTCGGCCGCTCACACGCATCGACATCAGCGTCGCATGAGCGGATAGATCGAGATTTGAGACTCGAGAGAAAGAACGAAGGAGAAAGAGATAAGGATGAAGAAAAAGGAAAGGAGAGAGGGATGGCAAGACAGGGACACGGTCACGGGAGTCCTTCCTTTTGGCTGCAGGTTCTGGGAGCTACACGTGATGGGCCTTCTTGGGCCCGGACTGGTGCCGTGCGATCGCGAGCGGCAGGGTGCGCTACAACATAGTTCGGTTTGATCGGGTGTTCGGTTTTCGTCGCCTGCAAACCGACGCCGAAGCCGAACACCGAAACATTGGAAACATGAAACCGAAACTGAAAGACCGAAAAACCGAAAGTTCGGTTCGGTTCGGCTCGGTTCGGTTATCGGTTCTCGGTTAAAATATGCCCAGTCCAACTCGTGACAACTGAAATAATGCTGACAAGCTAAGGGCCACATCGATCGGTTCAGCAAAACCAAAATTCGTAGCATGCACCAGTTCGTCAGTCAGTCAGAAACTCAGAATAGCTAAAAAAACAGAAATGCTATATCTCAAACGATTGTTTCTTGCGCCTCCATCAACCGAATTTGTGTGCATCCGATCCGCATAGGAAGCCCGGCTGCCGTCCGATCTATCGCACAGGTTCAGACTCGCCGCTTCCTCCCCGCTCCGCCCCATGCCGCCGCACCCGCATAGGTCTGCGCTCGCTGCTTCCTCCTAGCTCCACTCGACCGCGCTCCGCTCCTAGGCCGCCGCCACACCTAGGCCGCCCCGCTGCCCCGGCCCGAGCGTCCCTGGCGCGGGCTGGCATCCCCGGCAGACGTCCCGGCGCAGGCGCCGCCGTCCTCTGCTTCCTCTCTGTCGCTCAAAGACCAGATGTGCCTTTTGTTGTCTGTTCTTCTCTGCTCTCTGTTCTTCCATTTATAAAATTGTAAAATTGTGAAAAAATTGATGATATTTGTTAACAATTTGACATATATTTTGTACCTAGAATCCATAGAAAAATAATTGTAATTTTTTTTGAAACTTTGGCATCTATTTGTCTGAGATCTTGTGTTATCCCTAAATTACATCACTCTGTCCAATATATTACACTGAAGAAATTATTGTAAATATAGTGATAAGACAGTGTAAATATAGCTAGATGACAGTGTAAGTGCATAAGAAAAATTCGATTAATTGACAGGAGGAGCCAAAACAACTGAATGTTACCTGGCCACTTCCTAAAAAAAATATTGTTATTATTCGTCGTAACCGGACAGCTAAAACGTTTTTTTGATGGAAAGAGGTTCATTAGCTTCTACGCAAGTGCTGGTAGTCAGGGAACGTGTTACCAACGTACGTGTTGGAGGACGTGGAAAGTCTAGTGGCGATGCCCTAGACATGGGGCTCCACGAGCTGAGTGTACCTGACGCGAAAAGGGACGAAGGTTCATGTTATCATGTGCCACATAGTACTATAACATATGTTTAAATACCAGGTGTGAACACAAAGGAGCAACAGGTACGTGGGCAGATTCGAGTTTTGGTCAGACCGTCAAGGACACACAAGATCGGTCCTGTTGTGTCATCGGAGCTTGCTTGCCAAGAAACACCCCGTGCAATGATCGATGCTGTGCACTAGCTTATCTGCTAATTGCTAAACCGTCCCATCTTAAGCCAAGAGACTTTTCCGTTATTGTCATCTTATTACCTCTTCATTCACTGCCTGGCTGCCTGTACACAAGCGTCACTGAGAGACTTTGATGTTGCTGCCGTGTCATGCAGATGTGAACGCAGGCTCATCCTCGGAGGATTCCGATTTTGGTCAAAGGGCGATGCCAATTGCCAGACGGCCTCCTCGGCCCTCGCGCAACTTGTTTCCTGTGGGAGCAAGGAACTCATCTATTGCTTCGCTCTCGATCTCCAAAATCCCTCGAGACAACAACATACATTGTGGTCACATTGCGTCGTGAACTGGTAACAAAGCAAGGAACTCCATACCAAACAACACCATAGATCTTATTCTGGGCCTGTTTTGTGGCTACTACTTCAAGACATGGTCTCTTTTGGCCACTTCGATCTACTTTCGTGTGCTTGTTTTGTGGTTGCAGATGGTGTGTGAATATGGACATCCAAAGAAACCCTCTAGAAAAGCTTTCGCCCTATTCGTTTGGCTTATAAGTCATACTTTTTTTCAGCCAACGAATAGTATTTTTTCTCTCACAACAAATCAGCCAATAGTATTTTCAGTCATGGCTTATCAGCCAAGCGAACAGGGCATTTGATTTCATATAGAGTTCATTTGGGGCTGTTTGTATTTCAATTTGGTTTTGTGCCGATAAAACTAACGGTTTTGGAACCTGGCTTAGCGGGTTTGTTTAGAAAGGCGTCTGGTGCTAAGTTGTTTCAACTTTTAGGTCTCGCCTATTCACCCTCCTCTAAGTAACATTAAGATCTTTTCAGGGGATGAGGAGGGACGCGATAGGTACATACCAAAGTTCTATGATGAGATGAATTCATACCTTTGTTTAGTTGAGAGGATGGGGGTCATACCTATTTTGTGTTTTGTTGGGGAGAGTAGATGACCAATTTTCTTGCCAGGCACCGTTACTCTCTGGGCTTGGTTCAGGGCTCTATTTGGTTGCGGCCGCAGCCTGCCCTACCAAAAGTACGACATGCCGCAGTACCGTTTGGTTGCTGCCTCATCTTCGCTGTGCCAAAACTACAGCGTCACCCACTGTGTAGATGCATGCCAAAAGTCTGGGGCTCGTTTTCACCGCCATAGTTTTGGTGATCCGCATCTACGGTGCGCGCGAGTTGAAGGAACCAACCAAACATGCCCCTAGCCTCTTCTTCATCCTCTCCTCATTTTCCCTTACGAAGCGCATCACCAGGGAGACGCACAAGTGTGGCACAACGATTAGAGCGTCACACTAGCCAAGCTAGGTGATAGCGAGGTGTGCAAGGGGCGTAGAGCTATGACTAGGAGAGAGGAGGAGAGGCAAACTAACTCGTACACATGCACATAAACTGAAGTAGTCCAGCCTCTCATTCATCTCCCGCAACATCTATGTCATCCTCGACATCAACGCGAGAGGCCCGATAGCGAAGCAGAGAGGTTAGTCACCTTCGGTCGCAACGTGACTATTATGTGGCAAGGAAGAAAGATGCAATACAATGAGCGGCGAGCTTGGCTGCGGGAAAGAAGGCGTGTTGACCGTGCCAGTCATGGCCCCATAAGGGAAGGAGAGGGGCGCCCGGGGCATCAAATGCATAGAGCACAATAGTGAGGAGGTGAGTAAGACGATGTGTACAAGTCAAACTAACCTAACTTTGACTAAGTTATAGTGAATATTATTAATATTTGTGTATTTTTTTGGAAAAAAAATATTATTTATGTATCTAACTAGGTTTATTATGAAAATATATGTACAGTTAATTAACAATACTATTTTTTATCATAAATGTTAGTATTTTTATATAATTTTAGTGAAAGTTTAAATCGTTTGACTTTTTGAAAAACCGATAATTACACTCTTTCATGGATGGAGAGGGTACTTTGAAATTAACATTTTTTTAAAAGTACACAAATAATTTTTCTGTAATTTGATTAAACGGTTTCCTTTAAGCGCAGGGCACATCGCCGCCAAGCAGGTGGGAGGACAACGATCCCGAGTCAAGACGTGAGCCAATGGGCTATCCCGGTATACATCACCATCTAATACTCGGCGCAGCAAGCTAGCAATAATCAGGCGGATCGGTGATCACATTCGGCAAGACGTGACGTGATCGTTCATCACCATCAGGCAGGCGGGCGGCGGGCAGCAAGCTAGCAATTCCTCGTCCGTGATCGTGATCGCATCGGCGGTGTTGGACGCGACTCATTTCACGTTCTCTCGCTGGAGAAAGGCTCAAGAGAAAGGAAGAGTAGAAATCGCGAAGTCCAACTTCAACTCAAGAAGAGGAAAGAAAGCCACAATGTCAGCGACCACGCGGCGGTGAATGCGTGATCACCGGTGTTTGCCGTATGTTTGGGCTTGTGCTGAGTATTAGTACTGTGTGTATACCTGGGGAGGGGCCCATTGGCTCAGTGGACCTAGGACGGTTGTCCCTCCCGTCCCGCCCCAGGCCCAGGCCTGTTTAAAGGAAACCGTTTAATCAAATTACAGAAAAATTATTTGTGTACTTTAAAAAAATGTTAATTTCAAAGTACCCTCTCCATCTATGAAAGAGTGTAATTATCGGTTTTTTTGAAAAGTCAAACGATTTGAACTTTCACTAAAATATGATAAAAAATAGTATTGTTAATTAACTGTACATATATTTTCGTAATAAACCTAGTTAGATACATAAATAATACTGTCCAATCCCTATTTTATAAAACTGTAATTAATAATTGTTTCTCTAAATAGCTCATCTAACATTAATTTAAATGATCTAATTTATGAGCTAAGGGTTATGCAATCCGCTTTGCCAGATAGACAAATGACAGCTTTGGAGATTTTTGAGTTTGTTACATAAGGTGATTGTTATCCTAGTACTTCTATTATTGCTTATCGCATCTTGTTTACTATGCCAGTGACAATGGCATTAACTGAAAAAAGCTCCTCAAATTTAAAATCGTTGAAGAACTATTTGAGATCTATAATATCACAAGAGAGGTTAAATGAATTGGCAATATTATACATTGAGAAACGATTGTTGGATGAGATTGATATTGACACCATCATCGATGACTTCGCATCGAGGAATGTTAGAGATTTGAGGTAATTTAATGTGTATATACATATTATTTCATATGAATATTATTTTCCCATTCAGTTAATCGCTTATCAGTAACATTTCATATATGTGTGCAATGAGTAGTACTAGTAATATTATCATGTTTATATAAAAAGGCCTAAACTTTTAGTTTCGTTCCTGCCTTTAAAAAATGTTAAAATCTATACAGATAGTTTAAAAAAAATCAAAATCGGCCGGCGGCTGAGCCGAAAGTGAACACCAAACATTAATGAACGAACCTATGCAAATGTGGATGGAGGGAGTACCGATCTTCATCGTCAAACAACCAAAAGTGAACACCAAACATTAATGAACGAACCTAAGCCAATGGCGCTTTCTCGATAACCAATTAACCACTTCGACTGGAACAACGGCCGGCGGCTGAGCCGAAAGTCTCCGTCAGATCCAGCTCCTATCACGCACTCGCAGTTCAAATTTGAATCGGAGCGGAGAGAACCCCAAGTCCCCAACGCCCGTTTCTGGTCGCCTCTGCGGCTCTGCCCACCCCGCTCCCACTCACGCTCTCGCCACCTCACTCACTCACTGCTCCGCCCGCCACCGCCATGGCCGCACCAGGCGCCGGCACCGGCGGCTGGCGCGCCTCCAGCTCGCGAGCCCGCCGCGCGTCCGCGGCGGCGGCGGAGTCTAATGAGAACGAAGACCTTGCCGCCGCGTCCTCTTCCTCGTTCGCCCTCGCCCCCGCTCCGCATTTCTCGCTGCCCCCGAGGTCGCCGCTCGCGGCCATCGCGGATCCCGGGCGGAACCCTCGTTCCGCGCCGGCGACGCCTGTCGTCGCTGGCCGGCACGCCCAGGGCCTCCGCGGCGGGGTCGGGGCCAGGGACCGGACCTCATCGGTTGGGGCGGCGAAGAGGGTGTTCGATCTGAGGGATGTCGCGGCCGCGGAGGTGCCCCTGGAGGTGCCGCACTTCGAGCTCGACGAGGACCCCGCGTTCTGGAAGGATCGCAATGTGCAGGTTTGGATGTTCGCAGCTCGAACCCGTGAAGTCGTTGAAATTGTTCAGTAGAAGCAGTAAATAAACTATATAATAATCATCCTGTATCAATTAGATTGGCAACCGTCCCTCCTTGAAAAATAATGGTCTTGATGACGATCAAGTAATCCTGGTATTATGCTGGCTTAACTGTGCGCATCATGTAATTCTACTAATAATGGTGTCACCATCTTTGTAGAAAATAAAATGAAGAATAATCAATAATGTCTAACCATCATGTAAGGCTGATGCATTTTGATGGCTTGTCATGCCCGTTGAGTTCTAGCATTCCATTTGTTAGTGATTCTGCATCATGCCAATTGTGACTTCTTTTACATGTGTCCAAATTCGATATGTGTTTGCACACCCTCAGGCTTCTAAAGCTAATATGGCGAATGTGTTGGACTTTTGATGTGGTTTCTACAGGTTCTGATACGGATAAGACCAATTAGTGATGCCGAGAATGCTACTCATGGTCAGAAAAGATGCTTGCTGCAGGATAGCTCAAAGACATTGAGCTGGACAGGACATCCGGAAACCATGTTCACGTTTGACCATGTTGCATGCGAAACAATATCACAGGTCTCTAGTGTGCTAGCACTCTTTTTGTTCCTTTCTGGATCAGTCTTCCTTTAGCCTAAGCAACCTTTTGTCTATAAAACAATTAGGAAAAGCTATTCAGAGTTGTGGGTCTGCCAATGGTGGAGAACTGCATGTCAGGATACAATGGTTGTCTGTTTGCCTATGGTCAGGTAAGACAAACTGAGTTTGGGCTATTCTGTGTCCGCAGAAGAATTTACCTGAACTGTATGTAACTCAATAACTATACTTTTATAGACGGGAAGTGGGAAAACTTACACAATGATGGGAGAACTTACAAAGTTGGGCAATGAGCTTAGTAAGGATGCTGGCTTGACACCTCGCATTTTCAAATATCTTTTTCGACGGATAAATGAGGTACGATGTTTGTATGTCTACTTTAGTGAATTATTGCTGATGAATAGACTAAAATGTAATGAATGTGAAGGAAGAAGAGCGCCGGAGAGAAGAAAAGCTTAAATATATCTGCAAATGCTCTTTTCTAGAGATTTACAATGAACAAATAACTGATCTACTTGAACCCTCGTCAACCAATCTTCAGGTGAGCTAACTATGAGTAGGATTTGCTTCATCTTTTTCAAACTGAATGTTAAATCTCAGATTTATTTTTCTCTGTAGATCCGTGAAGATATAAAGAAAGGTGTATATGTTGAAAATCTAATGGAATGTTATGTGTCATCTGTTGAAGATGTTATGTTGCTATTGCTACAGGTGATAGAATGTTTTCTCCATCGTTCCTTTTGATTGAATCTGAATATTGAAGGTTCTATAACTGTTAAGTGATAACTTAATCCAATGAAATTCCTGAAATATTCTTCTAGGGGGTTGCAAACAGGAAAATGGCTGCCACAAACATGAACAGCGAGAGCAGCCGCTCACATAGTGTTTTTACTTGTGTAATTGAGAGTCGTTGGGAAAGTGATTCGATGACACACCTCCGATTTGGGAGGTTGAATTTAGTTGATCTTGCTGGTTCTGAGAGGTGAGTTACAAAATAAAGTAACGAAGTTCTCTTGCTTCACAAATATTGACTGTGTTCAAACTAGGCAGAAAAGCTCAGGTGCCGAAGGAGAACGTTTGAAAGAAGCTGCAAACATTAATAGATCACTGTCAACCCTTGGGTAATCTTTTGTTCTCCGACAGTATTCTCTATGTATTTTGGTGTGGATCATACTATTTGAACTCAGAAACAAAAGTAAATAACTGCATGTCCCATGCCTATCCAGCTGCAAGCATTTTATATCTAGCACGGCTAACATCATGCTTATATGTTAACACTTGTGGCATTTATAATGGCATAAGAAATGCTAGTCCCTTTCATGTTAAGTTTCACAATTGTATTTTTTTTTCAATTTTATGAAACCTGCCCTATTTCATGACCAGGTAAATAATACTGATGCATAATATTGTTGTTTTGAATTTTTAGATTGTAACAAATATATTCATATTTGGATATCAAGATTGATATTTTGCTAGCATGAGAAGTTGTAGTTTAAGAAGCACCGCGCACAAGTCATCAAATTATAATCCATTTATATCCTCTTTCAGGCTTGTTATTATGACTCTAGTGGATGTTGCAAATGGGAGAAGCCGTCATGTTCCTTATAGAGATTCAAGGCTTACATTTCTCCTTCAGGTTAAAATACAAATAAAAGCACATGTGTCCATTGTTTTCTCTGGCTCATTATCATATCTTGGCAGGATTCGCTAGGAGGGAACTCTAAAACAACAATTGTTTCCAATGTCAGCCCATCTATTCGGTATCCATCTTCTGTATCTTCATATCCGCTAACTGCTATTCAACGTTTTTTCCAGATACTTAACAATGTGCTTGACTCAGTCATCTATGAATTACCTCTATTGCAGTTCTTCCAGTGAGACATTGAGTACCTTGAAGTTTGCCCAACGTGCAAAGCTGATTCAAAATAATGTACTTATTTTTTCAAGTATATCGATTTTTTTTAAGATATGGGAATGTTTCCTTGTTGACTTAATTGGGGATCCATTTACTTATGTTAGGCAAAAGTAAATGAAGACGCTTCAGGAGATGTTATGGCTTTACAAAGGCAGATAGAGGAACTAAAGGTAAGGGTTGCTTTCTTTCCCTTTCAGAACTCCCTTATTGAATTAGAGGTGATTCTTTGTATGATGCGTGACTTCACTCTAACAGGATCAACTGACATGCTTGAAGAAGCAAAAAGATTGTCCTGGATCACCTAGCTTGTTGCTTAATTCAGACTTTACCAATGAATTCAAAACTTCATGTGGAGTAGATGATCAACTAGACTGTGATCTGAATATCCTAAAGAAAAAGGTCACAAGGCATGATTTTCCATTTTGGTAAATAATAATAACCATATATTACAACGTAAAGTACTCATACATTAATAACAGGTTAGCCATCTAGAACATGTCTTGGCTGGGAGCCTTAGGAGAGAGAAATCAGCAGAGACCAAGATTGGGAAGCTGGAAGCAGAAATACAGCACTTGAACCGTTTGGTAATACTATTTTCTCACAGATGTCTCAATTTCTTAAAGAAGAGCTAATAATCAATATGTGCTTATATCCTCAAATATGCAACATAAAATACAATTATCTTCTTATAAGAATGAGTTGTCTATGGGTTCAATACTGATACTATCTGTTTTGACAGGTCAACCTGATGGAGTCTGACGCACAGCGCTTGAGGAAGAGGCTCGAACTTCGTGGTGAAAAACAAAGATTACACTCGATTGGTGAAAATGCTGCATTGTCCCAGGAGATTCAGTTGTTGCAAGAACAAATCAATGAAAATCCTCAATTGACTCACTTCGCGTTGGAAAACAAGAGATTGATTGAGGAACTTACAACGTAATATTGCAATATTAAAATTTTGAAGTCCTAATGATTTTGGTTGCAAACAGAAAACTTACATAGTGACTTGGGATCTTTTGTGCGTTTGAAAAAAGTGAGTTTAGCTTATTCTACTTTACTAACATACAGGCTTCAGAACTTCTACAAGCAAGGGGAAAGAGAGATGTTATTGACAGAGATATCTCTTTTGCGGAATCATGTATGTTCAGCCTTCCTGAGCTTCTTTCTGCTGAATTTTTTTTAATCTTGCATGCTGTTCTGATAATTTTCTATCTGTAGTTCCTTCATATCCTTGAGCAGAAATACGCAGCAGCTCCTAAAAATGTAGAAGCTCAGGTGTGTTCTCATTAGTTTTGGTTCATTACTTATTCGCATTGATGTGGTCCCTGTCTCTGTTTCCAAGGAAGCCAAAAGCTTAGCCTAAATTTTATCGAGAAATACCATATTATAACCCTTAAGGGGAAGTGGGATAATTTGCAAGTTAACCTAATTTGCTTCAACATATAAACTGAGTTTATTTTCTAATTGTGGGATGCATTGCTTTTAGGGTGATGAGCTCATCAAGGAGCTTGACAATTGCAGGAAGGAACTGGATGCATGCTTAGAAAACAATGTTCTGTTAGCTCGGTAAGTATTTTTACAACTGCCTTATATCTCAATGTATATTCATATATAGTTCCTGATTATCACAATCTACTGCTGATGTTAACTGTTACACACCTTACATCTACTTATTTCTGGGCCCTTAAACAATCTAATAATAAATTTACCATTCATGTTGATTGCAGTGAAGTAAATAAGCTTCGCTGTGAACTGATACAATACCAGAAGCCCTGCACAAATCAAGTACGTATGACGTTTTCACAGCCTCCAATAACTCAATGCTTGATGCTCATATTCGTTCATCCTATTTTCAGGTTGCTCCTGAGGAAAAGGAGAATGTTGTGGCCACAAGCATCAACGCAATGCAAAATGTTGGACTTTTACTCTTTCATTGTGTATAACCCATAACCCTTGGTCTAAACATAGCTTACATTTATCTGTTATTTTGACTTCATAACAGGATCAAGCCAAGCAGAATTTTTCATACTTGTCATCGGATGATGTTAACAAGCAGTTCATGCAAGCAGGGATCACAACTAATATTTCAGAATCATTCCAACTTGAATTACCTTATGAAATTGACAGTGAAGATCCGGAGTCTCCTCATTTGCATGATCCAGAAACACACGACTTTAGGGATCCTACAATAGCGTCAGAGTATGATGGTGTATTGTCTGAGTGCTTCAACTTAGCTATGGGGTCTTCACATGATGTACTTGACAAAAGCACTATTCTGACTGAGCTGAATTTTCTAGAGAAGGATGACACTTGTCATGTCCATGAAAAAGCTCCAGTGAGGGGTATACATTTGCATGATGAGACTTTATTGTGCCAAGAGATTGAAATAGTGAACTCAAGTAAACATCTATCACAGGATGAATTGGAAAACCTTAAAAGAACAAATCAAGAGCTCAAAGAGAAGCTGTTTATTATGGCTGAAGAAAGTAATAAGCTTTCAGAGATTATTGTTGCAAAAGATGTAGAAATTGCTTCTTTATCTGAAGAATGGGAGGCTGCAATTTTTGATCTAACAAGCTTCTTAACAGATGGATGTAGATCACTGGATGATGCATATCAGAACATTGATAATATGATTAGCTCATTTCCTCACAGTAACAGTTCTGTAAGTGAACATGTGGAGAAGGCTATGAAAATTAGCATTGAGAAAGAAAAGATGATATTCAAACTTCAAAATGAACTACAAACTGCGCAGAAAATTGGCAGGGAAGTGAAGGAAAAGCTGCATATTTTAAGAGGTGCAACTCTTGCTATAACTGAAGCTCAGCAGTTGGATAATGAAGAAAGCTCTCAGGAAGAACTACAGCTAGTAGGTTTATTGCACCAAAAGGATTGTATAATACAAGAACTAAAGAACAATTTGAAAGCAGAAAATTGTGTCTTTGCAGAAAGAGCTAAAGGACATTCTCGTGATGACCTAGTGTTGCCTGATAGTTCAGTTGACATGATTGAGGAATTGCCTCGTGATGAAAATCAACCAGCAGCTAGTCAAGTTAATCCAGATTACCAGGTACTCCAAGCTAAGCAACAGCCACATAACTTGTTTCGATGCGTGCATCTGGCGTGAGTAGTGTGAGATATTATTTGCCTATAGACAACATAATCTATCATAGCTGAAATGCAACATAATCTGGCTTGGAATTTGACATTCCACCAAAGTCCACATATAAGCCTATCTCAAATTCATAGGGTGAGAGATGGAAATTGATTTCTATAGATTACCATGCTATGTTTCTACTTTGCAACTTATAACACGCTCTTCAACTCGCTCTCCTACGGTAGAAATGCAACACATAAGTATCTCTCTCGTATAGCCAACAATAATATACAAATATAATCCATATACAACCATATTAGCTTAGTTAATGTGTCTAAATTATGATTATTAAAATGAATTCAATTCCAAGGATCCAAACGGGGCCTTATAGTATATTGTCAATTGCTACAAAATTAACACCTTCATAGAGTTACATTGACTGTAAGTAAAAAAAACAAAGTTTGACTTTCCAAATTAGTTCTTACATTGATGGACGGAGTAACTGAAAAGGTAATGGTCGATGAGGTGTATTTGAGATTTTGTCAATGCCTTAAATGATTTAGGTATAAACAGAGACTCTACCATACTAAACCAACACAGAAAAATTGAATTGAACAGTAGTTTTCAGACAATTATCTAAAGATCAAGTACAGGCTAGGAAGTATGCCACATTGACCTCTGGCATAAGAATGTTTACATTATTTACAGCTCTGCACATAACAATCTGTATAACCATGTTTCTAAATATGTATAAAATGCTTTATCTTTCATACCAACTGAAAACAGAAAAATATATAACAGTAATTTTGTTTTGATTGAAATTCTTTATGCACAGAAACGCCTTTCTCATGCACCTCAGTTGTTAGTTTCTTTCTGGATTATGAAAATCTGATTGATAATGTGGAATTTTATTGTGCCAAACCTTGCAGTCAAAGCTTGATAGTGTGATGCATCTTGTTGAAGACAAATCAAATAAGGTTCTGACCTTATTTTCAAATTTTGAGGCAGCTCAAGAAACCATGGAAGAGGCTGAACTTATGCTTTCAGCTTTGTTGAAGGCCAATGAAGAATTAAAACTTGAGAGAGATAATTGCAGGCAAGCTGTGGAATTGTTGTTGTCTGAGAAAAGTTCTCTGATCGGTGACTTGAAAGAACTTGAAGCATCAAGCTCTTGTTTATCCCAGAAATATGACAAATTGCATCAACAGATAAATGAGCGCGTTTCAGAGATGACAAAGCTTGCTACTATAATAAGGAAGTCGTTTCAGCAAATTCAAAGTTTTTCCATGGTAGAACTCTTTGCTCTTTGCTCAGAGATTATTACTTTTGGCCAAGACTTGAAAGGATGTATAATTGATTCAAGGTCATATATAGCGAACATGGTATCACTTATAGAAGAAAAAGGCAGATCTACAGAGCAGTTCCATCACCTAAATGCAAATGCTTGTGGGTCTGCTTGCCAACAGGTAGATTCACATTCATGCCAGTGGGGTAGCAGCAAACCTTCTCAATCTGATTATAGTGCAGAATATGCATCACTCAGAAGAGAATTTGACAGGAAGAGCAATGTTGTAGAAGGATTGTCTTTTGATCTTAAACTACTGCAAGAGTCTACCTCAAACGCAAAAGATATGAAAGATAAAGCTGATGAAATATCTACTGCCCTTAGCAATGTTCAAAGAGAACTAGATATGAAAACTTCTACAATAGAAACCATGTTGAAAAAACAAAAGGTACTTGAGGAAGAACTGGCTGAAAATGGTGCCAGACTCATTATTTTAAGATCAGAGTTAGAGCATTCTCAAAGTTTATCATCAGCGTTATTAAAGGAGAACAAAGGTCTGAGAGTGATGTTGGAAGATGAAACTGTGAAGAATAGTGAAACAAAAGTGCTGTTGGAAGAAAAAGTTAAGGTCATAGAGGGATTGGAGAGCCAAATACTATTGCTAAATCGTTCTGAAGTGGGGCAGTTGATGTCAGATATTGAAGAATTAAATAATAGCATTAAAATAATGAGTAGTGACAGAGAAAATCTCCAGGCAGAGATATTTAAGTTAAGGGACAAGCTTGAGATGGCAATGGCTTTAGCTGAGGAAAATGAAGCTGCTGCTATTGAAGCTCGTCAAGTAAGTATTTTTGTAATTAGTTTTTTTTTCATCCACAACTCTGAATTTAATTGAAAGTGGGCACTTGTTATGCTTCTGTAGACTGCAGAGATTAGTAAAATCTATGCTGAGGAAAAAGAGGAGGAGGTTAAGATTCTTGAACGATCTGTCGAGGAACTTGAAGGAACAGTGACTGTTCTTGAGGAAGAGGTACTCTTCATTGGTCTTCTTCGTTTTGTGCTTTCTCTGCTTATCGGGCAACTTGCCATAATGAGATACATGGCTGCTATAAAATTTTTGTAATAGTGATTATAATACATGTAGCACAAAAGTACCACAAATTTCCATTTGCCATTAGATTTAACCTTTTCAGATGTACCTATGCAAGGATTGGTGCGTGAACATGGAGAGTCAGACTCTACTTTGTTACACAGTATTATCTATCACATATTCTTATTTTTGCCGAAGGTATGCAACCTTAAAGAGGAAGTAAGGAGCCATCAAGTACATAAACTATCTGAAGCCCACTTTCAAGCTTTTGATGACATGCTTGCTGTAGAAAAAGCATCAAAATGTGATGCTGCTGAGGAATCGTGTCAAGGGAAATGTCATCTAGAAAAGTAAGAATTCAATTGAATTGCTTGTTGCCATGAGGCACCCATAAGGTGTCTATGAGCTTGTTTCAACTGATGGCATCTTCAATGCAGGAGATTGCAAGCTGAGATTCTTGCACATAAAGATGTCAGAAAGAAGATTGAAGGTCTCAAATTGGAAGCAAAACGTAAAGATGATGAGGTTCATGTCGAACTTATACACAACTATTTGAGATTTTGAGTTCTTTCTTCTCTTAAATAATCATCTAAACCGGCAATACACATTCATATAGATTGGACAATACAAAGAGCATATTGCTGAGTTGGTCCTGCATTCAGAAGCACAGTCTTTGTTGTTTCAGGAGAAGGTATGGAACACTACCTACATTGTTTTGTGTCTATTTGTTACTGTCTATGTGCTACTAATTCTTGTTGTGCAGTACCATGAAATGGAGCACATGGTTTCTAGACAGAAGTTTGGTCCGCATGAATCTAGTTCTGAGACTGTCCATGCCAAAACTGAAAAGCCTTCAGGGCGAGAGCAAGAGGATCCAGCTCCCCTTTCCGGTGCATATCTAGCATTATTCAACAAATGAACTCTGAGAAGGATCAAGAAATCTCGGTGGCACGCCAACGAATTGAAGAACTGGAAGGTTTGGTTAGTTGCAAACAGAAAGAGGTAACATGTGTTTCTTTGACCTTTGGTTTTTTTAGTAGTCTGGATTGAAATATTTAGCACTGGTCAATCATGATATATTGTTAATCAGGATATATTGTCTCACTATCATAATGTTGCTGTTGCATATGTCCTCAGATTGCAATGAGCCAATGAGGTTCACCATCTGGTCCGAATCCAAATGCCATGCTACCTAGTTGGTTTTCCTTCTTAGGCTATTATTCAATACAAGAACTATTATTCATAGTAGAAACCATAGCTTATACTATGATATATCAGGTGCCATCTATTTACTTAAAAAGAAAGGGCTAATGACGTGAACGTTTACAATTGTGTGCTTCGTTGAAGAAATTTTGACAGCTTATCATTTCTCTGGGAAATAAGATACAAATGATTATGCTCCATGTTTAACTATAATTTGGACTATTTATTGTCCAATATTCAGCTACTTCCTGTAAAGTTTATGCTTTTTTTTTCTCCTTGACCATAGATATGCTTGCTAACATCAAGACTAGCTGCTGTGGATACCATGACACATGATATTATAAGAGAACTACTTGGTGTCAAACTAGACATGACAAACTATGCTGTAAGTAGCAGAAGTTTCTCCAAGCTGTTAAATATTATGTGTTATTGTTATACTGTTCACTTAGTGAGATTTGTTGTTCACATATCTAGAATTTGGTTGACCAAGAAGAGGTGCAAAAGTTGCTGATAGCATCCCAGCAACAAATTGAACAATCAAAGGCGAAGGTATGCCACCAACAAATCTGTGTTTTACTAAGTTGAATCATACTCTCAGAAGGTGTTCCTCATTTTTTCATCTGTTTTGCCACTGTAGGACACAGAACTTGAAGCGTTGAAAGAACAACTTGGTCTTCTCATTCTGGAAAGGGACAGGTGAAACTTCTAATCCTGAATTGTTCATCTGATCATTCTGCTTATAGTTGAAATTACTGAGTCAAGTGAACATGTTGGGATTTTATTTCTTTTAACTTCAAGCTTGCTTGATGACATGGACCAAAGAAAGACGGACCTATTAGAGGCCCAACTGCTCGTTGAACAGCTTGAGCAACGGGAGCAGATGCTGGAAGCGCAGATTGAAATGTTACAGGTTCAGAAAATACTTATGCGCCCGAGAACTTCCCTCAAAAACATATTGCGCTATTCAACTTACTACCTGACTTCGATCATGCTAAACTTGTGCATATGTGTTTTTGTAGTTGGAGAAAGACAACCTTCAACAGAAGACCATGGAGATGGACGAGACAATTGAACTTCTAGCCAGATCAAACCAACAAGATATAAATCCAAGAATGGTGAAGTACCTTCACTATAAATGCTCACGTTCAGCAGTTAATTGTGGGCTTCTGATGACCAGAACATTTCTACAGGGGGATAACCACCATCGCGGCAGCAGTGAGTTCAGCAGGCGGCTAGCTCAGTCCGACATGCTCCTCTCCCATGCGAGGCATGAACATTCTCGCCGGCATGCGGCCGGAAGCTCGAGGACGCACCATGGCCGGCATCGGTGAAGCATCGTTGCTTGCTGGAATGCTGGTGCGTCAGCCGTCAGACACCGCTTGTGTTTGTAGTAGATTGGCAGCGGCGCGGCTTCTCTGGCCGGGTCTGTACAGATTGTTCGGAAGCCGTAAGGCCCAAATGGCAATGTCCAGAAGAAACCTTCCACGTCTGTAAGATCTGCGCGACTGCGCGCCTGTAAATCTGATAGTGCAATGTACGCGTTGCTTGCGTAGAGTTGCCATTTGGGCCGTTGTATGTTCTTCCACGAGACCTACGTTGTAGGTTCCGGCTTTTCGCAAGTGAGATTTCCCCAAACAGCTGAGATTTGTTTCTAGTTGTACAGTTGTAAACCGTAACCGAGGGTTAGGGTTAAGTGCCGAGTCATAGCTTTTCAAATGGATGGACCATCATGGTTCAGGACACATTCTTCGAGCTCCCAATACGTTGGCCTCGCTGTAACGAGGCGCAGATATTTACATGCTCCAATTTCTTTTCTCTTAAAAAATGGTCCATTGTTTTCATTATTTTTATTTTTTAGTTAAACAAATAAGAGGAAGCTACTCCCTCTGTTTTAAAATAAACGTATATCTCGATTTACGAGAGTCAAACTTTTTCAAATTAATCAAATATATAAAAACTATACTAATATATATGATGTATTTTCTCTATCTCAAATTATAAGTCATTCTAAGAATTTTGAAGAGTCAAAGCATCTAAAGTTTGACTAAATTTATATGATAAGATAATAACGTTTATGATACCAACTAAGTATCATTATGTTCTTTATTAATTATATTTTCATAGCATATCTATTTGATGTCATAAATATATGTAATTCTTTCTACAATTTTGGTTAAACTTGAAATACTTGGTCTTTCCAAGATTCTTGGAATGACTTATAATTTGAGATGAATGAAGTATACTATTAGATTAAACATGAAATGTATTTGTAGATGCGAATATTGATACTATTTTCTATATTTTAGTCAAACTTTTTAAATTTGACTCTTGAAATGAGATGTGCACGTCTACATGTTCGGTAATCGATCCCTTGTGATTTCGAGAGGGCCAGAGGCGCCGCTAAGTAATTGATAGGCCCACGAGATCCGCCCCGTGACCCGGCCCAAGCTCCTCGACCTCACTCGGTCACTCCACTGTGTCCACTCCGCCGGCCACCGCACCACCGCTCGTCTACTGCCCCTTCCCCTAGGACTCGGACCTCGGCGTCACCATCAACGGATCGGTCATCTCAATGGCCGCTGAATTCGAATTCACACGCACTCCAGACTCATTCAAATTTCGGACTACCCCGCCTGGCCGCCTCGACCCCCACGCCTCCTCCTCCGTCCACCTCCCTCTTGCCCTCCCCGCCAAAGCCCGGCCCCCATGGGGTGGTGCAGTAAGCTTACCAGCACACACACTCACTCACTATGGCTAGAGGTAGAAGAAGGGGTGAGCACAGTCATACACACACATCACAAGCACCAGCGTTGGCTAGAGCTCTGCTCTTTTTGGTTTGTGGCAACCTGAATCACCTGCTTTCATTGCATAGAGGTAGAGTATATACAACTCATATAACAACTATAAGGTACATATGAGCATGGCTGAGTACAGCTCAACTACTCCTAGTACTAGCAGTACAATTCCTACCTCAGCCCACTACCAAGATATGACTGATGTATTAGCTACCAACTAATGTACCAGTGGTGGCCTATTGTCACACTGCTACAGCAACTAGGACAACAGAGAATGACCTATTGCCAAATCTGTTGTGCAGCAAACAAAACGTGAGAGGTCAGCAGCAGATTATGTCTTACAATTCTTTCCCTAATCCTGCTGCTAACCCAAAGCCTTGACCTCATCCATGCCAATCATTTTCCTTAGCTCCATGAACCGCAGGCGCCCGAGTGACTTGGTGAGGATGTCAGCGAGCTGTCTGTCGGTCTCGACAAACTCGATGACGATTTGCCCTCCATCGACGTAGTCCTGGAGGAAGTGGAACTTGATGTCGATGTGCTTGCTCCGATCGTGGAGGACAGGATTCTTGACGAGGGCGATGGCGGGCTGATTGTCTACCATCAAAGCTGGTGGGTGAGCTTCCTCGCCAGTCAGCTCACCTAGCAGCCAGCGCAACCAGACAGCCTAGGATGTCACTGTGGCCGCTGTGACGTACTCGGCCTCACATGTCAACAACGCCACAATCTTCTACTTCAATGATTGCCAGGCGATGAGGGCTGCTCCAAGGAAGACAAGCACACCAGAGGTGCTTCGTCGCCCGTCGATGTCGCCCACCATGTCTGGGTCGCTGAAAATAGTGAGCTCTAGCTCACCTTCCTTTGCCTTGGGGGCGCCTCACTGAAGACCATGAGCCACAGCCCACCCTTGCCACCACTCTTGGGAAGATGATCGCTTGATTGAGCGTCCCCTTGATGTAGCACAACAACCTTTTCACCGCCGTCCAGTGATCCTCACGCGGTTCCTCCATGAATCGACTAACATACCCAACCACGAACGCGATGTTCGGCTGAGTATGCTTGAGGTAGCGCAGCCTGCCGATGATGCTCTGGCAGCGCGTCGCGTCCACCTTCACTGCCATGCTGTGCTTGGATAGCTTCAGCCGCTCCTCCATTGGAGTTGCGCACGGCTTGCACTCCGCCATGCCGTTGCGCTCCAGCAGCTTCTCCGCATAGACGCGCTGGCCCAGGGAGATGTGCTCCTTCCCCTGCCTCACCTCAATGCCAAGGTAGTAGGAGAGCGCGCCGAGATCGCTCATTTTGAAACGAGCAGCCATCTCGTGCTTGAAGCCATCAATATCCTCCGCCCGTGCTCCAGTGATGATCAAGTCGTCCACATACACACCGACGACGAGCTCCTCTTTCCCTTGTCGCTGCGTGTATAGCGCATGCTTTGTGGTGCAGTGAGTGAACCCAAGCTCGCCCAAGGTGACATCGAGCTTGGCGTTCCATGCCCAAGGGGCCTGCCGTAGCCCATAGAGCTCCTTGCGCAGCTTGAGCACCTTGTGCTCACGCCCATGATGGCGTTTCCAGAGATTGCTTAACGAAGACCATCTCCGCAAGCTCGCCACTGAGGAACACAGACTTGACATTGAGGTGGTGGACGCACCAATCCTTTGCTGTTGTCGTGGCCAACAGCAAGCGAACGGACTCCATTCACGCCACCAGAGCAAAGACTTCCTCAAGTCGATGCCCTCACATTGCACGGCCACCACGGGCAATGAACCGAGCCTTGTACTTGACAATGGCATCACGCTGTTCGCTTCACCTTATAGACCCACTTCAACCCGGTCGTCCCAACCTCCACCGGTGGATCCACCAGCTCCCATGTCCCATTGTCCTCGATCACCCTCATCTCCTCCAACATCGCTTTCAAGCATCAATTGGCGCCACGTTCAGCCATTGTGAACGTTGGTGGCTCCTCTATCGACAAGGAGTAGTTCGGGTCATCCGGTGGTCTAGCTAGCCAGCCCTAGAGCTCCCCCTTCGCCGACAAGGTTGTCCACCCGCCTGAACTGAACCTCCTTGTCGTCATGGAAAGCAGCTATGAACTCGTAGATGTCGATGGGTGGTGATGCGAACTCCAATGGGGGTGTCCTCTGTGCTGCCGTCGTAGGGGACTGGTGGAGGTGAATGCGTAGTTGCTGGTAGAGACTGCTCTCCAACAACAACCTGTTCTCTAGCAGCCTACTCTCCAGCAGCAGCCTGCTCTCCAGCGCCATCATCTCCTCCTCCTTGGATCACCAAGTGCTCGATAGCAAATGTGCTGCTGACACCAGCAGCTTCCACGGCGCCTTGATCCTCCCAATCCCAAGCAGCCATCTCGTCGAATACTACATCCCTAGAGACCACCACCATGCCTCCATTGGGATCATAGAGCCGATAGGCCTTGCTTCCCTCCTCATAGCCCAACAGCACCATGGGCGTGCTTCTGTCCTCCAGCTTGTTGAGGTGGGGCTTTGTGTTCTTGACATTGCCAACGCAGCCAAATGTCCTAATGAAGGACACATTCGGCTTGCATCCATGCCAAGCCTCGAACGACGTCTTGCTCTTCAGGGCCTTGGTGGGCGCGCGATTGAGGATGAACACCGCCGTGGTCACCGCCTCTCCCCAGAACTCCGTCGGCATCTTATTAGCCTTCATCATCGACCTCGCCATGCCGACCACTGTCGGTTGCGCCTCTCCACCACGCCATTCTACTATGGCGTGTACGGCGCGATGTGGTGGCACACCACACCTTGATCCACGCAGTACGCTACAAACTCTACAGAGGTGAATTCGTCGCCGCAATCAGTCCGCACTGTGCGTAGCTTCTTGCCGCTCTTTGCCTCCACGCGTGCCTTGAACTTCTTGACCGCATTCGTTGCCTCAATCTTGCCGGTCAGAAGCTGCAGCCACATGAACTGGCTATTGTCATCCACCAGCAAGATGAAGTACTTGTGCTCGCCATGCATCGCCAGTGTGATCGGCCCACAGAGGTCACCATGGACCAGCTCGAGGGCCTCTGCCACGCGGTACTTTATCGTCTTTGGGAATGATAGCCTTCTTTGCTTCCTGGCCAGGCAGCTGTCACATAGCTCGCCTATGTGCTTGATGTGAGGCAGCCCCCAGACCATCTTTTCTAGCTTGCTGAGGGCGTCGAAGCTGAGATGGCCATAGCGGGCGTGCCACAGCCATGGCTCCTCCGTGCGCTGTGCAGCCAAGCAGATGGGCTTCTCCACCTTCAAGTCGAGCAGGTACAGCCGGTTCCAGGACCTCTTGTAAGTGCAATCAAGCCCTAATGTGGATTTTAGTGTTAATGACCACCTAATTAGAGAACTAATGAGATTTATTAAGATGACAAGCAGAGAATTCATTATAGAGGATGTCACATGGAAAGGAGGAGCCCCCAATTACAAATAAGGACGGCATCACACTCAAAGGAGTTTTGAATTCTTTTGTTTTTTGAAATTGAGTATGGGAAAAGCCGTACTATAAAGGGGAACACTACAACTGGT